TCTCTAAATGAAAATTTATTGAAGTTACAGACGGAATCGAAGCTTTATAAAGATCAAGTAAATATGCTTTACACTTTAAATCATGTAGAAAAGCAAAAATGAACGGATATATATATTATCTAAACATTTAATCACTGCATAAGTTTTGCACGATTACTGAATAAAATTTAGAGCGTCACGTTCAGCAATACTATCCAATTAGAGAAGTCAAATGCATTTAGGTTTGCTCAATCGTCTTCATATCAGTGCTACGGCGAATCAAAGAGAATTAGATGTACTATGTATTATTTGGTATCATGTTGAAGTAAAAGTGCCTTTTTTGTATTCTATTATTTTGTAAAACGAAAATTATACACAGCTTATAAACCAGTATTATGTTAGGCATAGAATTAATATTTCCATTACGCTTAGATCATGCTTATATGACCATCATGCTACCTGATAGAAGAAAATGAGGGATTATTTAACTGTTAATATTATTTTAGATTGAAAACTTGCAAAGTGAAATACGTCAGCTATGTTCCCAGCGAAAGAAACAAGATGAAGATTCACATCATTTAAATGAAACACTAAATCAACGTCAGTCACAATTACAGCAAAAATCTTTGCAAATACAAGATCTAGAGACAACGATCCACCAAAAAGAATTAGAATTAGAAAGATTTCACGCTCAAAAAATGACAGCCGATAATAACTTAAAATTAACGGAAGATTCTCTTCAACAAACGCAAAAGAATTTGATTGAAACTGAAACAAAGGTTCTCAAATACCAAGCTGAGGTATTTCGGTGAAAGCTTTTACTAATAAATACTTAATTGTTGGACTAAATCAGAAGACACTTCATACTATGATAAATTTTTGTTGAAATGCTCTATTAATATAATTGCACAGAAAGGGTAGTAAAATCTATTTAAAATAGAAAGAGTTTTGAAATAAATTTATAGCGTCGGATACTCTTACTATTAAACATATTTCTATATTTCTATATTTTAAAGTAAGGCATTTAACCCAAAGCAGCAGCTAAGCATTAATCTATTTGTTAACATTTTTTAATTTCTTAATGTGATAGATAAAAGAAACCGAATCAACTATCAGTGATTTGCAATCGAAATTACTGCAGAAAGATTTAGAATTAAATAAAACAACAACACAAGCTAAATTAGATCATGAAAGGGTTATGGAACTAGAAGCAATGCTGAAAACACAGCAAACACAATTAAAGCAACGCAGCAGCCAAGTTTCAATGCTGGATACTTCATTTAAGGAGCACTTAAGTGAAATTAAGCAACAAAATAAACAATTAGAACATTTAGTACAACAGCATCAAAGTGAAATTGATCGTAAAGGGCAACAAATTCGTGAATTAGAACTAGAATTAAGAGAGAATCAAAATGATTATAATACACAAATATCACGCTATCAGCAATTGGAACAAGTCTATCAACAGCATCACATTGAACTGCAAAATAAGGTAGCCATTATAGTTGAATTGGAACAAACTAATAAACATGCAGAGTACCAAATTGACGAGCAACAAAAATTAATGACCGAAATAAATCAGCAATTGAGATTAACCAAAGAGCAGCTTAGAATTCAGGTAAACGCACAAAATATTTAGTAAGGGTACTATTAAAAATGTTTAGAATATACTCGATCCATCATCAGTTGGGATCGGATGATGTATTTATCAGAATAAAAGCGAGCACAAACAAGTAACAAATTAAGAATATCTAATAAATTGTATATGGTATCTCATTCATAATTATGTAATAGGGTGATGAAGCAGACGAGTGTCGACGCTTACAAAAACTACTGGAACACGAAAGAGACATAGCTTGCCAAGAATTAGACGAGTTAAGGGTGATGTTAGCATCTAAAGAAGCCGATGCTGCCCGTTTAGCCGAAGAAGTTGGCGCATCTCGTCAACGTGAGGAGGACTATGAACGACAATGCATTCAAGAAATAAGACGAATGCAGAAGCAGCAAGAAATCCGTCAAGAACAGCATGAGCAAGAGGTAGTTATCTATAGTTAAAATCAAATGATTAGAAACTGATACGTGACTATTTATTGCATCTTCTCAGATTTAATATAAGGCGATAGTTATAAATGTATTGTGTTGTAATTCTGATGGCTAATAAGTATTCAATAGTCAAGTATATTCAGTAAAACTAGTGATCTGCTCTAGTAGGCGTAGCTAATAATTTATACTTTCACCTGATGTCAAGACGTAGACAACTAAATAATACGATATATTTTCTAAAAGTCAATGCTTTAGATAACAGTATAAAATCACAAAAAATGAACTACAGTCTACATTTTTTATAATTAGTGATTAATCAATTGTTTAATGAGTAATGTACTAAAATCATAGAACAAATTTAGCTTAATTACTGTTTATAAAGTATAAACATGGTATAAATGTTTTCCTGAAACTTAGAACTATTTAAAACTCCTTTACAGAGCTTATCTTAAAAATAAACAGTAGCTTTTGCTTGCTATTACCTAAAACGATAGGATTGATTACTTTATTTTCTCACTATATAGATTAATCGCTTACAAGAAAACCATGCTCATATTTTATCATCACGCGAACAAATGGCTACAAATTTACGCCAGCAGGTCCAACGACTACAAGAAGTAGAACAAGAACATAGTGATGAAGTAGATCATTTACGCCGACAAGTTTCTCAATTAAGCTATGAGCTAAAAATACAGCATGATACCGTTAGTACATCCCACGAAGCATTAGTAATTAAGGAGGCTGAATTAGCTAGACTAGGATCTCAATTATCAGGCTATCAACGTGCAGAAATCAATTTGGCTCATCCTAAGAGCAATAACGTCAATGATCAATGTGCAATAGATCAAAGTTATACAACACCAACCAGCAATGTGTACCAACAGCAGCCTAATTACTCCTTAGTTGAAGATGATGAAGGAAATATTGATCGTGACAAATTTCAGCCGCAACAAGAAGGAGAGGAAGACATGAATCGGTACGCTATTCACGGTAGAAGTTCCAACAATGACGTTGATAAGGTAGGAGTTAATACTCCATCTACGATTGTTTACGGAGCACTAAGTAATCGAGCTAAAGATCAATCTCAACGGCTTAACTATCCTATAAATAGGATGGCAATACCATCAGCGACAACATTGAACGACAAGACGGAATCCCTCCTGATATACAACAATTAAGTTATCGTGATGATAATGAAGCCCCAATAATAAGCTATAATTCAAGTAATAGTTTCGGCACTAATATTCAAAAAAATAGTGATGATAACAAATCAAATGCTGAGGTAATTGGACAACAACTTGGTAATGCTATCGATAGCTGTTCCTTAACTACAAAAGCCCAAGTACCTGAATTAATCATGACTAGTCGTCATGATGACGATCTCGACTCCGATGTAATGATTGACGAAAGTAGAAGTCGATCATTAACAAATCCTGATAGCATGCTAGAAAGTGATGTTCAGTCTTCAGATGTAGCAGAGCAATCGCTATCTCGTAGTAACTCTTTTAGCATTAATACGCTTAGAAACCAACTAGAGCATCATCGAAGTCGAATTGCTGCTTTAAGAAAGGCTTCACCGTCACCCCAGTCTTGGTATCGAAATTGATATGGATTCTTCAAGAACTTTTTTTGTACATTACTTATCTTCTATCTTAAAATCTTTTCTTAAGAAACAGCCTTGTATTTGATTAAAATTTAAACCGAATACTCAAACAACGTAGTAGTTATTACGTCATGACTTATATCAAACCCTTAATTGTTCAAAACGGAATATGCAGTAGTCCCGTCCCGACACACGTTAACAAAAATTGTGATCCCTGGAAAAATAACTTTGATGTTAACATCAGTTTATTTACAAAGTCCGAATGAGCTTTCTTCATCGTTTATTACATCCTTCTATACATCATACAAATTCTTATTCCATTATAATGTTACAATTTTGTGCAATTGCTCGAAAGAGCAATGATTTTATTCCGCAAAAGCTATGTCCTTATATTTTATGAACTGTAATTAATAATTTTAAAATTATTGTTGCAGAAAAATGTAGTTGACCATGTGCAACCAATAAATTTTACATTATTTTAATCTTTTTCATTTACCTTTTGCAATGCATATACGCGTACACATATACGTATATAGTAATAGAAATAGTTAAAACGATCATCCTGTACAGAGCAATTTAACGTATTGACTTGCTGTAGAATATTTTGGTATAATGATCATTTTACCTCAATTGATCAAAGTAACAATAGTAATAGAAGATTTCAAGCAAAAAAATCATCAACTAATAGGCTTAAATTTGGCTTACGAAATTAACGCACCTCAATGAATCAGAAGTTTAAAGTAAAATAAATTTCTAACTTAAAATTACTTGTAATTCTAGGAATATAAAACTTCTAATGAAACATCGGGTCTTTAGTTAGAAATGTATTCTAGCAACATGTTTTATACATCCACTAATGCAGCTTCTTAAGTAGGAAACAAGTAGTAGCTTAGGGGTTAGAAAAATAACTTTAGATGCGACGTGAAATAAATATTGTAGTAAGATACAATCAAATATTGTGTCAGTCAATATAGTAACGCTGGCCCATTTCATTAATACCTATACTGTACGTACAGTAGACGAAGTGTTATCATAGACTCGCTAGTTGTACCTGATTAAAATTGATAATAAAATGAAAATGATCATAAGCTAGCAAATAGTAAAATAGTCAAGTACAAAGCTGACAAAAATTTAAAACGCGCATCGGTGAATGCAATTATCTTTAAGATTGTTAGCATCATGTTTACTCGTATATGCGCATTTTATAGCAATTCTTTACACCAGTGCTAAGGGCACTTGTAACTAGTGAATAAGACAGAATAAAATCAGCACTATTGAAATCAGCTACTGTCAGTACTGAATACATATAGAAGCGTTACTAACGATACATTATCCAATTCATGTAACAAATTTATAAATTTATATAATGAAAGATTTATGCCTGCGTTGAGTCCTCGCAAATCTTTGCTGCACTGTCTTCCCATTCATCATCCCAACCAGACGTACCCTGCCATAAAATGTTAAAACTTTTAATGCCTCAGATAACGTATTTAGAATTGAAACTGGAAATTTAGAACAATGTAAGTACATGTGTTAGTCAAACAATCATCCACTAACCATGCCGCTATCATTTGTGCTATCCCGAATCGAAAATAAAGATTTGCTATCGGATTTTGAGCTCTGTTTATGTCTACTTTTGATTTCGACACTTTTTTCTGGAGCAGTATACACAGGCAGCATGTCTGCAAAAAAATCTATCTCTTCTGTAGGATCTACAGATTTTATTTGAATATCAAATTCATGGCCCAATGTCTCCACCTTATTTGTTTTTTTCAACTTTTTTAACGAAGGCGTGTTCTTAGATGTATTTGAACTGGAAGTCGATAGCGTAGGGGATGATGGCTGGGATGCGTTCCAAGTTTGCCAACCATTTTCAGCCTGATTATTTCTGGGCTCTACTAGCTCAGTCTTAACACTACCAGTAGTAGAACCAGCTGCAGAGTCATGAACCGCTTCCGATATTGAGGATATTGAAGTTCTACTTTCAGTTGCCTTAATTTCATTAGGCAATAAAATATCTTTGTTAGGCATTGTAGAAAATCGACTACTGTTATTGTCCACTCCATTGCCAGATAGTGTCACGCTATCAGACAAGTTTTTACGAACTTCTGCCATGTTATCGTTCAAGGACGATTTCTCAGTTTGTAGAGTTTTCACTTTTTTAAGATAATCTTCATTCGATTCAGGCATAGTAGTTGTCTCGGGTGAAGAGGTGGTGCTACATTCATCAGTCTCATTAGGCTTTCCAAAATACTCCCAATTGTCGTTTGACCACGCATCCTCCTCAACATGTCTATTTCCATCATTCTCATTAATCGATGCTGACTCGGAAATAACGTCCACTTTTTGATCAATAGTGGTGTTATGAATATCGTTTACGATTTTCTGTGGTGTCTCAAGTGGTAAGTGATCATCTTCGCCTGCAACTGAAGCAGCGTGCTCCATTCCCGTTATTTCCATACCTAAATCGAGTAATTACACTTCAGCAATAGATCTAACGAAAGATTGTAAAATAAGAAGCTGCCTACAAAATAAAAGGTTCCTCTATAACCATAACAACAGCACTTATACCTGTTTTTTTCCCAGATTTTAACAAATCACGTTGCCTTTTTTTTTCTTCATTACGTTTACGATTCTCTTCACGTCGTCGTTCTCTGTCAAGTTTCTTTTTCATTTCAGGAGAATCACCCCTTATATTGCTATTAGTTTTGTCTCCCATCGATTTCTCATAATTTAATTTTGTATCAAATACATTTTTAGTGCTTGAACGTTCCATAATTTCCACTGGATCGTCATGAGTATCGTCACTTGTTATACTGGCATTATCGATCATCTTTTGAATGATATGATAGTTTGTGCTTGGAGAAACTTCATATGACGAAAAACTCTCCTGAGGTGAAACTAATTCAATACCATAGAAACATACAAATTATGTATACTACCAACAAGACAAAAATTACATTTGTTTACAGCAGCATAAACATTCATTTACAACATTTAACAACAATCTTATATTTACGTGCTAGTGGCCTATCCAACGGCTTCTGAAACTGGATAAAACAATAGTAAGCATTTCTCATGCCAAGAAGATATCACCTATCCATAACTGGTCAACTATACTTACATCAGGTTGACCTTCTTTAAAGATAGTTCTTCGGTCGGCGGTTCCAACCACATTTTCAGCTCCAAGCACAAGGACACAGTCAGCCATAGCCCTAAATGTAGCTGCAACGATTTCATTATCTATATCTCTTAAACCCTGAAGAATCTGAGCACGAATAGAACATCACAATTCAGATTTTATAGTTACTAATATTTTATGGCAGAAAATGAGCAACCTTGGGAAGAACTTCCTTTTGTAATTGTTGTTTGTTAAAATAGTTGATGTAAGTATTAAAACGATCTAAAATTAATAGCCGGACGTGCTTATGCCTAACTTTAAATAATTTGACAATGATCGGAATTACTTCTTCCCTGTAATATAAATATCGGAAATACAACTTTCAGCTGATAGAAACATGATTCTTAGCCACCATCTATTCACAAATAATAGCATTACTTAAATAAATCCATAGTTATGATCGGATTAATTTTTCCGTCAATAAAATCTTTGCTATGATTGTGATCTAAGCAAAGTAATAGTTATTTTAAAAATTTAAATTGACGATGTACTTTTCTAATCACAAATTCTATCCTACTTTCGCGAGGCGCAAACAAGTGGGGAAAAAAATGAACCGAAGCAAACGGTTCCGCTAAGGCAAATCTTGACAATAACATTTTCAGTAACCTTCGTACGATGGTTGCGGAACGGTAACGTCGCAATCGCTTAGCTAAGTATCTGGAAATAAAATTTAATTGCATAAATACAACTGTACTATTACATAAGTAATCACTCTGCTGATATATGAAGGTAATTAGTACCTAAAGAATTCCTGTTTCTCGATATTCGATTTAAGTGTTATATTATTTAAGAAAGTAACAAGATCTAATAAATCATTTTCCCTATAAGAGCAAATAGAAGAAGCAACAACAAAATTACAACAGTGGACTAGAAATGATCTCAGACATTGAATACTAACGTAAATATTTCTTCTTTCATCAATTGACCAAATTTCGATCGCAACTATACATTGTACAGACATTTTAGTAACAACTAATTCATTCCAAGTTTGATAAGTCAACTGTAGAAAATTATAATTTTCATTTAACCTTAGGATCGTCGATTAAACATTGCTCAGATATCCGGTTCGTAAACCGTTGTACTACTTCATCTGAAAAGAATTTTTGTCGAAATATACATTATCTAGATAAATAGAACAGTGTATGCCATACATCGATTTGAATTCAAGCAACTGTTATGTATTTCAATTATACGCTATTACGTACCATTCTCAATTTCAAATTTCTCTTTTAATGACATGACTAGCCTACCAAACGCGTAAACATCACGACTTTGGCTGGAAGAGAGTGGTGGATCAAACTTACCAGACTATCAAAAGAAATTACATTATTAGGCCCACATAATGTGTGAAATAACCATGCTAATTTGCGTACGACTGCAAATGTTACGAAATAGCATACTAAATCCTACATTTGTCTGTATTACCTTTTCTTCAGGTGATATCGCATCTGAGCAACGGTATTTTGTTGTCTGGCGTAAGAACTATATAAATATATATACAAATTGAAAGAAGTGTACTATTTTAGCAGGCTCATTTTAATGTATCACTACAGTGCAATATGAATTAGTGACGTATAACACACTGGATGAATAAAAAATGGGTACTTTATGTTTGACCTTCTAGATTAGCAGCATCATTTGAAAGACCCTTAAATACAGTATCTCACCTCAGCGTTAATGTTACGATACGATCGCGTATATTCCATCCCTCCAAGTTTCCAACATCCATCACTTTGACTAACGTATATTGCCGACTTTGCGATATTATTATGTGCTGTAAGACCCTACATGTACATACATATAATAATTTAAAGGGAAGGTGCAACAAACACTTAACATCAATTTTTTTGATAAGCAAATATAGTAAAAATGAAGATTAGTTTACTCGATCGTGAAGGAAAGACAAGGCTTGCACGATTTCATATAGTCCTACAATAATTTCATCGGGCTCAAATTCGTCAACGACTAGTTCTAACGGCTTAACATATTCTGTAACTAAGGCTATTTCGGTTTGGCTGGCATAGGATTCATAATATTTTAGGATGAATGGATGGCGCAGCAGCTTAAGTTGCTAACAAATGAAGTATCGGTTAGCATACGACTTGCAATATTTAGAATTGTCGCGAAATCAATCCAATCATTCATCATAAATGACACTGTCCAATCAGTACAATCAATAGTACAAACTCTGTCTAATGAGTACAGTACAGACAGGGACTACTAAAAGCAGGGGTTTCACGATGAAAAAGTCCATATAAAATGGATTTTTTATGGAGAAATCCCTGCTAAAAGAATGATAGCGAAATGTCTTGTAATAAATTTTAAATTTAATGTTAGCAATCATGACAAAAGAAAGAGATCAATGATGTAGCACGCAATCAATTTGCTATACAGCTTCAGGCCTCTGACAGCAAATACAACTTCAATAGTGCATGATCACACGTTTATTAGTCATCATATCAACTTGTAGAACAAATCAGCAAGCAATCAATCTAAGCATGCCTTTATTATGGACGAACTCAAAGTTACAGCAAGGTTCTTAGTTTTTTGCTCTCCTACTACTAAATAAGATCCTGAGATGGTGAGAATTACAAAACCGAGAACCATGTTGAAACAACGCATATACGATTCACGTCAATTACTTATAAACCTGTAATTACTGGTATATTTAATTGAATGAAGAAAATGTTGTCAATCAATATGATCGAAGTTATTCGGAATTAGTGTCAATTTGCTTTAAACCTATATAATACCTTAGTAGCATTTTCTATTCCGTTTTGCGGCTTGCTGGATCCAAGTGAAAGATCGTGTGTAAATACGGCAACTTTGATGCCTTTATCATTCAGTGCAGGTCGAATTGTCCATGGCTGACCGTTATTTTTTTGCTTGATCAATGGTTTTGATAGTTTATAAGAATCTAAAATGCTATTTTCGGCTCCCATATGCTGTCATTAGGTTGAAGCACTTGTAGCTAATTGAAAATTTTCCTTGAGGTGGTGAATCTCGACATTGCATTATTGAAGAAGATATTATTTAAGAGTGATTACAGTACCGTACATTACGGTACTGTACAGTACTGTACAGTATAGTGTACAGTGTATCGTATAGAGTATTGTACTGTAGTTACAGTACAGTACACTGTACAGTATAGAGGTACAGTAGAGGGAGATAGTACAGTATATACACTGTACTCTACAGTATGTTGTATTGTAGGCATTGTACAGTACTGTAGGTCTCTCTTTTTGTATTCAAGTTAATGAGTGTACTGTTTCTGTACCACGGATCAGCGTTATTGATAATATACAGTACAGTACAGTACTGTTCTGTAATATTTTGAATTAATGTTATACAGTACAGTACTGTACAGTGTACAGTACAGTACAGTATGACGGTGCGAATACTGTAGACTGTAGAGTGAGTAAACGGGTCTAAGAAATCAGATAATGTAAGTGAGCAGAGTCAGAGTTGATTGTAAGAAGAGCTAAAAATACCTACGGTTCTACCAAGGATTATTTCTACTGTTGGTGTGCTTTTCTGCTATTACGAATGCCAATGAATGTTTGCTTTAGAGGAGTAATTCATTATTAGTCTTCTTTCCACCTCTGTAGCCTGGCCCTAGACGCCAGCAAAGCCAAAAAAATTCTCCATACCGTGATATACTTAAAGCAAGAGATATCTAATTCGCTGGTCTAGCCATCAATTACTAGAGCTACAGTCTAGTACAGTACTGCACTATATTGTACCGTACAGTACAGTATAACACACTTTAGCAATGTACTGTACAGTACGTACACTTGCCCGAGTTACCATGGAAACGGACGCCACAATCTGAATCGTCGTAATCGATACAGATAGTGTTTTAATAGGCAAAACTTTCATTTTACTATCTGTGCATCATCGTTCAATGCTTAACTAAGTTGAGAATGTATTTGTGAATAAAATTCTAGTTTCCAATAAAACGCTAAGAAACACAAGTTCAACATGGGAAGATTAAAGCTAACAACCGCGGAACCTTACTACACCCCAGGGTAAATATGAACATTTACGAAATAGTTTAAAAGCTAATCTTATTTTTAATTTAGAAGTAAAAGTGTAGAGTATTCTTAGATATTTGCTTAATCGTGATATAAGGCAACAGGACATTTTAAGGAGTAAACTGAAAAAAAAAAGTTTAATTGAAGAGAGTCCTTTACGTGGATCTTGATTAAATCGTAATCAGATTTTAATCAGTTCGGCACATTTTTACTGACACGTTTACAACAACTACGGTCTAGAATTATCACCAAATTAACTATATAAAAAAAAACATTCCAAATGTATTTCTTTTCCGATCTTAAATTTCATGAAAAATAAATACGAATAGTAATTCACAAGATATAAGCAACTAATTAATCGATCTACGTATCCTTCGACGTGGATATCTTTTAATTGCATTATGTTAGTATAGTATACATCAACTAATTATGGAATAAAACTTGACTAAAATTGAAAATGTTATATCAGTAGCTTTGATAAGTATTCTGGGCGTATTTTAGTTAGTATTAACCGTTCAATGCTATACTTGTCTTGGCTCAGTTATACCGTACTGTTTGATGCTTACTCGATTCCAAGATAGCATAACCTTTAATTAAAGTAAAATACTAGATATTTACAATTTTTAGACAATATCACAGCTGTCTAGCAACATACGGTGAACTACTATAAAGTCTCTTTTATCATCGTTATGACTTCAAATATGTTCTCAATAAACACAAATAAGAGTCCAACTAAAAATATTAAGTTACAATTTTATACTATCCAATATTGCTTTCAAACATAGGAACGATTACTTCAATATTCTAATAAATATAATATGATCTATCACTGTTGAACAGTTATAGTGGCTACTGTCCGCAATTTAAATATGAAATCGGCAGGACATATGGAGCTTCAACACATGAAATTTTAACCAGCCCAAAGATCAACCGATCCCAGCAAGGTGTTTTGACAAATACTCTACCAAATGAAGAAGTAACAAAAACAGCAACCGGCTGGACCACATCTCAAGAAATTAAGGCTATGAAGATAGTGAACTCTAGACAACAAAGCTTCGGCAATCAAAAATATGTTCATCATATGATACCAGGATATTCAGGTTTGTTATAGTTGCTAGAAATTTATCAACACAACAAGACCGTTATCTTATTTATCGGTTAAAAGTAAAAATAATCTGTAATCGTTCATACTTTATTCGTATTAGGATTTGTGCCCAGGTCACAAAAACAGTTTGGTGCACGATATGCTACTGCTTGCGATAGTGCGATCGCAGATTTCGATATAGAACAAACGCAGTCACTGAGAAGCAACTATACATTAGGCCAAGTTAATCAAAAACGTCATCCTAAGCTGCGTCTAACTGCAGTGAAAGAGAAAGAATTACAAAATTCCATCGAAGCAATCTCGATTAAGCTAACTAGCAAGTCTATCGCTAAAACCGTTCCAATTAGTTACATGGATGATGATGATCCCAACAAATTCCATAAATCAGGCTATACTGGTTATGTGCCTCGTCAGAAGGAAATAATTGGTCTATCATATCCGATTTCATCTCATGTGGCAACCAAGCAATTCCATACCGAATCTCGAGTGCGCAGCGCAGAGGCTCATAAACCAATCACAGTAACAAGGCAAATTAAAAGCGCTAGAGATGGGAGAGTTATCTTTCCAAAAACTTCTGGCATTATGCCACACTATACTGGTCATGTTCCAGGTAATCTATAAACTAGCAGCTCTAATATATTGTAAAATCATAATTTAAACCATCTATTGCAAGACTGAACATTTAATTCCTTGATTTATGTATCTAGCATAGAGCAGCGCTCAATAAGTATCAAATTAACATCTATCTAAACGTTTTTAATATTAGGAATGAAGTATCGAATTGGAGGAACTTTTGGCAATAATTCAGTTGATACATTACGTATGTGATACCTTTTTAGTATAGTAAATGCCATGTTAGCGGTCTCTCTATGCTAGAAACTAATACTAATTCGTCAAATTTGTTTTCATATACTACTAACGCAACTACTGAATAGTGCCCGAATTAAGTACTAGCATCATAAACCGTAATTGAGAACTAGTTCCGTATTGGATTTCTATATAAATTGAACTACGTTACCTTTTAACTTAGCAAAGCACAATGCCCAATGATATTAGTATAGTTGTTTTGAGCATTTCTGGATATGTACATATCATAACTGCTATATTTTTAAGGAAAATTGCTAGTAAATCTCAAACTACTGTGCTTTTTCTTAATCAAAGTAAGGTTTTCCCACAGGATATTAATCTCAATGCAAATATCCCATAACAATGGTTTGATATTCTTATTAAAGATCAGTTAAAAACAATATTGTAATTTTAATTATTTGGTTGCTTCTACACTTCTATCAATCTCCCTTAAAGACTACTGCACGATTAAATCATGGAGCCACGTAAAATAATGGAAGGATCTACAGAAATTTTAGTATGATACGGTAACTTGATAACAATACTTTTTATATCTTAATTAAAGTAGATAAAATCAGCATTTTCCAATAAAGTCTGAAAACTTATTCATGATCGTATTCAACTTTTATGAAAGCAGTGATTCGTGACGTCATATTATGATTCCCTTTGTATTGCTATAAAAGTATTATCAGATTTAAAGAGAAACTATGGATGTTTATCCATCCATATTGTTAATACATCGAATATTGCTATAATTGCTAGCACTTCAACCAATTTTCATTAATTTTGGGTTATTGAAGCAATAAAGCCGGTTCATTTTATTTCACTGAATAACGAATACAGTGATATGTATTAGGGGTACGCATATAGCTAAATACGTACGAGTATGTTGGTACGTATATGCGGTAAAGTTGACCTTAAGCTCGATAGCTTAATATTTCAGAATAACACAGTAAGTATTGCTATAATATCCTCACACAATAACATGAATAAATATTGAAATTAAGGCATATAGAAGCACGTGCACAGCAACATTAATTCTTGGTCACAGATTTCTGATACAGTCATATAATTTTTTGGAAAAGGGTTAAGCAATTCTTTTAACGTCTACAGGAATGATGGCTTATCTTGTATACTGTATATTGGATTGACGAAATTCAATGTATGACAATTATTTAAGATAAGGTACGAGTATATGACTATATCAAATAATTACTAAGTGATCTATGGATAGACATTAAACAGCGTTCGCTTATAATTAATTTAGGCTTCGTCAGTTTGCTGCTACCTATACTGTAATATAAGTAAATTATGTGGCGGACTTTCCAATTAGACTTTAATCATTCAGCGTTCAATATCCTGTACAGGTGGTATAAATAATATCAAAAGTAATTGTTGCTTGGACTACTACAATTAATCGCAATCCGCTTGATCATCTTTATCTAACGATAAAACCTTAACCACCCAAGAGTCTTGCTTTGCACCGGTAGCAAATTCATCACGTGAAATTCTTCCATCATTATCCTAATTCATTTATGTGTTCATTAATTTAATTGATTAGTTTATGTAGTACTAGTATCCTTAGAAATTATAAGAAAATAGGCAAAATCTAATCAGTATTCATTAACTTAAAGCAAGCTATAACTTATATGTTATACATAAATTAGGCAAATATATAAATCAGGTAAAGTATATGGGATGTATGATATATTGCACATTATTATTTGAAATCTAATCAAAACAATCTATAAACCTACTATTTTGTCATATTTGGATATCAGAACAATTATCAGATATAAATTAAAACTCTTACTATTAATGCGCGTAAATCTACTATAGATATTAACTAAAAACTTACCAAAGTAATTATAATCATTAAAGCCTAAGTGACGTAAAAGAAACTCATCATTACAAATAACTATCTAGCAGCAATTATACCTTGTCCATTTGCGAAAATATGCGATTAACTCTCTTTTCGGGCGTATTATCATCAGCAGGCATTTCGTCTGTACTTCCCTGTAAATTAATTAAGAGTAACATTTACTAATTGATTAACTGCAAAATCATCGAAGAAAATAACAATTTAATCACTTTTTAACGTTTAGCGCATCATGATGCCTTAGAATAGACTTATTTCACGTTTAAAATAACTAAATTTATCTATTCATACACTGTATATATATACGCTTTAATTAATTATACTGTACAGTATATGATGTAAAGTAAAAAATACTAGTACATACTTATACAGATACTATCGTATAGTGCGCAAAGTATAACGAGCGAGGGCCTACTATTACTCATAAACATAAAGCCTTACAATTTTAAACTTGCGATAAAATTAACGACATCGTTTATTTTTATTTTTACAGTAATCGCTCCTTAAAATTTCAGTGATTAATCAATTCATCGTTTTTGTATAATATGCACCCTTATACCATATGAAATTAGCTTAAATTATATTTGCTCACCACCATACAGTAAATAGCGTCAATAATAGCAGTCATTTCTTCTCTTGTTATAAAGCCATCATGATCAATATCATATAGGGAAAATGCCCCTTTGAGAGGAAATTTATCGAAAAATTGTACAGATACGATTGATTTCTTAGCAAGAAATTACGATTGCAATTTTACGTTTTCATTACAAACTTTTTTACTGTATTTAAGTGCTGAAATCTTCCATAGTTATAACCGAATAGTATGTGACATAATAGTATTGCCAAATTATATTACATGATGATTTAAAAATTACGATTCCTGTAATTTCTGTAGTAGTATCATAAAAAAAGAAAAAAAATATCTATTTACTTACAATCTAATTTTTCATCGACGGTTCCGCGTGATGTTATCGATAACGCGGTTAAAAATTCGGCAAAAGTAATAAAATGATTCTACAAGAATAATTTGTAAACAAATATTTATTGCCCAGATTTATGATACAGGTCCAAGAAGCAAAACGAGACTCAGCATTTTAACACTGTTACAGCAAACTATCGCTTATTATTTAAATAGAATTAAAGTTTGTGCTCTTACAAGAATTAGATTACTTATAATTATTCATTAATGCCAGTATATAAATTACTCTGTTATTATCTGCATTATTAGACTGAAATCCATAGTTATTTAACGCAAAATTAAATTATGCTGCAGATATTCGTTTGATAACTTTAAAACGATATGTAAATATTACTACTGATATATTTTATGTGCCAAATTGTAGTCTGAGCACTAAAACCCTAAACTAATCTATGGTACCACTTTAAAATTCCTTTAAATAATTAGTAGTGGCAATGTTTATATCTGGTTTCAGTAATGTGAAACTGAAGGTCAATGAAGTTTTTAACTTGATGGTATGGCCCATAGTTTAATCAGCAGATATGAAGCTTTAACATAGGCGCATTCTTGTTATGCTCTAGTCAACGCTTCGTCAAAGTATCTGATAGTTTAACACAGTCAGAGTTACTAGCAATTTCTCTCTCGACTTATTAGCTTTTACTTTTAAAAATGTTGCAATGCAAAAATCATCGAATTTGTATATCATTGTTTGAATCTATTTCTATATTGAGGAAAAGTAAGCAAGTATCGGTAATTATTTGTCAGCTGCAATTTATTGACCTAAGTTAGGATGTGGAGTAAAAGATAATCCGCTTACTAATAGAGTCATTTATTATATACTCGACCGAAATTTACAAGCAAACAATTCATTAGTAACCTCTGCCAAAAATTTACCTTGTCCGTATCGAAAACGTTAAAGACAAATGATGCAAATTTTGAAACGTCGCCGCTTGGAAAAAACTGTTCATATATTTGTTGAAATTCCTTATTAAACAGAATAGAAAAATAGAACAATCTCCTTTCGTAAGCATATATTTTACCGCAACAATTCTATCTTATCAGATCGAACGAATTTAAAACTAAAATACAGCATTTAGAGAAATATTTTTTCTAACTAAATTCAAAAATATTTGAATATTGATAATTACTTTCATATATTGATTTAAAGATAAAGATGCTGATATTAATTAATTTCTTTATTTATCTAAAATATTTTCCAGATTAACGATCAATTTTGATTTTACACGCATCATTTTCAGTACTATATCAAGTTACGGTCAATCTACAAAATTTGCGCGTCTCATATACCAGTACATTAGATCTTATCATACTTTATCTGTGTATCGATGGTTTCAATAATTACATTACATTAAAAACGCAATTTTTCTACTCTCTTACAAAAAAGATGAAAATTAAAATAAAACTTTTCTTTGATAGTAAATAAATGAACATACGCGAGTTGAATGTAGTAATCCGCTAATGCTGCTACTAATATTGATTAATAAAAGCGACGTTATTAAGTGATTTTAAAGTAAAGTGAAACACCACCAGGTAAAATTTTTTAAGAATGATAACCCTTGTGTAATACCGATGTATCATATCCAATAATGGACTTTATGGTAACTTAAAAAGTAATAACTATAGCAAACAAAACGGTAAAAATTCATCCAACAAATATCTTGTAAATCGTAGATACCATACAAAGTAATCATTAATTGTTGTTACTAAATTAATTTTATGGACTTCCATAAGCATACTAAAACGAATATCGGATGTATTGGAAATGAATTAAAATTATCTTGTAAAATTGAAATGTGTCAGTAGTAATACAGATTAGATTCTTAAATGACAAAAAATTTCTTGTGACTGTGTGACCACAAGTTTATTTCTAGTTTGAGTTATGGTACTAATGTTTTAGAATAAAGTTAAAATGCACTCATGCAAGTATATGAAGCTCAAATAGATAAATATCGATCGATTGGTCATGACTTACACGTCTAGAATTATCTTCATAAAACACAAAAAGTATCAGTTTTTAATGCTAATTAAAGTACATTTATTAAATTATGGACCATAAGTGTCGATATGAGTTACTTAAGGTTCAAAATAATGACAGATAATCTAATACGATTATAGCTGTTAATTACCGAAACTAAACTACTGTTATCCATAAAATAGTATTTGTAGAATTATGAACATTCAATTACTATAGTTTAATGCAACTGAGAGATAGCTGCATTCTAATTTTCATTACTTTGCAGGTAATCATTAAATTTTGGCTAAAGATTTATTGTAAATAACGCCAATAAATCAATGTGAAAATATAATAAGAGATTATAGAAACACCATCTAGCGACCCAACTAATCTATCTACTCTGTCGTTCCTATCTTAGGACTGGAAAATAGAGCGTCTCTCTACCTCAGGATGAGATGGAAAAACTATTATGATACTAAATTATCGCTATTCAGATATTAGCCAATTGGTAAATAACCAAAAGGAACAATTAAAAAACTTTTCAATTATAATTCCGTACTAATAATATATTGATTACGGATATGTGACAGTTCTATTTCTATTCTTTACTTTATTTAATTATAAAACATTTTTAGTAGAGAAATTGAATTACTACTGCAACATCAGAGTTATTCTATTATATTTCGCTATTCATACTGAGCTATCTCTATTATTCTACTGTATTTGTCCGAGTGTTGAACTCTTATTTAGTATAGTAGTGGCATTCGTAATAAAATGAATGATAATGAAACATTTATAATTTAGCACGAAGCGATACGAAAATATGAGGGTATTGCTTAAGTTTTTAGTGGATTGAAATCGATAATATCAGCCGCTAAAGAGATCTACAATGTCGCATTTTCTTCACACAAGAAACGTAATTTCTACTGTTATGACAAACAATTTCAAAAAATCATGATTCATAATATGAATTAATGCGATCAATGTTAATGCAAAACTTAGTTTTAGTGACTGTTCATTAATTATAATTATAAAAGCAAATCTAAGTGCACTCAGCACGTTAATGTATGTATATATAATCATGTATACTGCCAGCACCAATATTATTTTTAAGGAAATAATCAATGGGTTAAAATTTTAATCGAACCGGTCTACAAGAGAAAAAACTAATCCTATTACACCTTTTTAGAGTAATTTAAGTGCTATCTAGTCATACTTCTATTTGCTATATGGCTGCTAGGTAATGATTAAAGGTAATGGTATTTAGCAATGATTGCAGTGATGCAAGGTATTTAAGTAATACAAGTAAATGTTTTTCTCAACGTTACATCCAATTCACTCCATTTCTTAACTACTGTAAGAGATAAAATTCAAGAAGTGTGAACCGTATAAATAATAGAAACTTTCTCTGGTTTTATAGTAAAGTCACTGAAATTCCTAATAAAATTTCTGTTATGCATTATCAGTTTGTAGAAATTGTCATGCAAAAATTAATAAGGTCTAAGTATCGTCAATCAACGCACAAGAATTCAATTCTCAAAATTGAGAATTGTCGAGTTTCTATTGTGTTTACGATAATTTAGTCAATGAGAATCGATGCTAAGCTAAAGCACTGTCCTCTTAAATCTTTTGAAATGTTTAAATAGATTATCATGACCAAAATAGTAGTATAATTAATATATCAAGTAAGAACTCGTATCATAACTTTCAGTTCGAAAATGTCATTTGTTAGATGATTGAATGATCTAGTCAATCATGATTATCATTGCTGTGGAGCATTATTATATTACAATTTATCTGCATCGACTAAGCTTCGCTGTCTTTTGCTACTGTAATTACAAGCAGATTAATATAATTTATCAATATTCAAGCGTATAGCTAGCTACTTTACTCCATCTATTCAGGTAAAAATTTTATATTCAGTTTTATATAAGTATAAAAGATAGTATTTGCAATAACCGAAGTTGGAAGAATTTCCATTGAAGCCTTTGTAATAAAGTCAATGTTTAAACCACTGTACTTTGTTTTCCTCACTCAACTTTAGTAGTAAATATCGTATAATCTTATATTTGCATTTTTCTTGTAGAAATTCATACAATCGTAAAATTTTAGATCTCTAGACATAAACAATTATCGTATTTTGCAAAATAATTTCAATCACATTTAGCTTTCATTCTAGTAAAGAAATTTAGAAGGCTTCCCAATGCTCTTGCATAAGGCTGTAATTTTACCACTTATTCCTTTCTATCAGCTTCGCAAATAACCCCTGCAATTCTGCACTTCAATCTGTAATTGAATCTAATAAACTAACCTTTTGATAGTTTAAAGTGTATCATTTTAGATTTTATAGTAACGAGAAAGTTGCAAACGATCTAGTAAACTTGAAATCGATTGAAATTTTAATACTTCTGTCTTTCATATACTGCATATTTCAGATTGGTATGGACAGCACTTAATATTGTTAATTAATAAACGCTGAAAATTTGGACATTTAATGAAACGCAATATTAACATCACAAAATAGACAAAAAGGATAAATTGTGGGCATAGGAATGAGTGCTATTGACAAATAGATGTTTTAAAATCAATAAGTGTCGACTAAGAAGGACCATACACATATTTATCTTCTGGCTTGGTTTCAGCGTAAAATGTTATACTTATAGCTAAAATAATACATTTAGATAATGAAAATTACGGCCACATATACGATGTACAGTATTATGCAATTTAGATTTATACGTGGTATAATATTAGCATTAGATAGCTCGGACAGGAAGGAATAATAACTAAAACAATGCTACTCGTAGAAAATTGAACTATGACTATAACGTAAAAAAGAAGTTCAACTAATTTGATAGCCAGTAGATACCAACTATAAATACGGTATCGTGAACAGATAACTGACGGAAATATTGCTGTTTACGATATACTCTAAGTTTTACAATGTTATCAAGATATTACTCCCCTTCCTAAGAATAGCTACGATAGGGATATATATAAAACAGTATATAAACCCGACAAATCTTTCAAACTTACATCTTGCTTCAGTTGTCCAGAAGGGCAGTCTTTAATAAAATCTTTATACCTTGAATAAAAATATCAACTATCTTTAGCAAAATAAACAAGGTCTATAGCATAAAAATCTTCAAGTGTTCATAAATTTGCTACATAGTTCATCTAATAAAATGGCTATCAATTATCCTATCCTGTCGTAGTCATGATCGATTACTAGTAGCAATAAATTCATTAAAATTGATGTAGTTAATCAAAATTTCTATGATTGATTCTAAAGTTAGGACAAGATGATGGTATTATCTCTTAAGAACTTTCTATTCCTATTTCAATCGTACGTTAACTAAGTCAGGTATAGTCATCATCGTTATTGATAATATGACCTAAATAATATTAAATTTGATTTTGTAATAATAATGTACATTGAAATTTATTCTATTGGCAAAAGTATGTTTTTAATTTATTGTTTTAGCCAGTTGTCATTTCAACAATTTATCGGATAACATTCTTACCATCGAGTAATTTCTTTCTTGGAAACTATTACGATAATGATAAAAATAACAAGAAATAACTTTTAATTTTAAAATAATTTGCAGGATTAGCCATCCAAATTTCAATACTTAAAATTATAAGAGAAAATGATGAAATTTTAGGTAACTGATATTAAGCTGTATCATTATAGGTGCAATAATAGTACTATAAACTCTTGTATACTCTATAAAATCCAACATGAAAAACTGAACTCTTCAAATACGATCAGAAATGTACAACAGTTGACTAGATAATGTTGGAAGATAATTAACTACATAAAAATAGTTGCAATTCTATTGCTCGTATAGGAACATATTTTCGCTAGCAATTCCTTCGCAATAAATTAAAATAAAAAATTAATCGTACTGGATTGGACTAATGAACAGATTATATTCAAATTTGATAATATTTTATAAAGTATCATGTTCAAGGTTAAATCTACGGAGCACTTTTAGAAGTTGGGAATCTTAACGACGAAAGGAAGGGTCACAACTGTAATTCTTCAATCTTAACCCAATAAAATGAGAATAAAGCAGTGATCAGTCTTTAAAAAAATATCTATAAGAATTTTTTGCTTTCCTTTGTTTTACCGTTCTAAATATCTATTTGGCTATAATAAAGAGTACGCAAGCAAAAATAGGGCAAATATACATTTTATATAATAAATTTCTTATAATTTTATAAAAGTAAAGAAGGTCTATGATCCATATTTTTCGGTATTGCTTAATCATTTCGACTCCAATCAGACTAGAAGATGAAGTTACGGATTTAACAAGTCAACACACTCGCGGAGAACTTGCCTTATTCTTAATTAAGTATTGATTTGTTGTAATTCTTCATCTTCATATACCGAAGGATATGAAGGAGCACGACAAACCCATTAAAAGGTAGAATGGCTTTTACTAATAATGTACTACGATTAACAATGTGATATGGTTAATTTTTACTCGTTTGAGCAATTCTATTTCCACTTACAGTGCGTTGTTTGCTCCAATTCTTCCAATACTTCTGGAGATAATTTAGTAATGGATTTGGATCTTGTTTGTCCCATAATTGTTATTCTCACTTAGCGTCACTTAAATAAATATGAATAAAACTAGGTACTACAATTTTTTACGTTTACTGCGCCAAAAATATTCTAATATTTTTAAAAGATCTTTAATAATAAACCATATCAGCCATAAAAATTGAAACTCAGTAGTGATGGAAATTTTGCCGTAAAGATGAAAGAAATACCGTAGTAATACAAATAAAAGACTGAAATGAAAGTACTTATAAAAGGAACAAAGTTGAAGCGAAGTTATTACATAGATAGATTGATTGGAAAATTAATTTTAATTTAAATGCTGAAACTTATGTAAGCAATCAATGAATCAATACAACAACTTGAGAATCAAACAAGACGACAAGGGTAAAAAAATAATATTGAATAGCCATCATCATATCCATTATTTTACTCAAGACGCTGTTACTAAGTATTGTTGTAAAGGGGCATTGAGAATAGATTTGTCTCCACCTCCTGAATCTATTATGCCATTGCCTGCATGGCAATATTACCTCTTTATATCTAGCGCTATTATGACTGCTTTTAATTTTATACCAAGACAATATTTTCTCTTGTCTCATAATTGAGTTGATGTTAATTAGAAATTAAGTTTATTGACAATAGATGACGAAAATAGCAAGCTATTATCCGTAATTGAACTCCTCAATTAACTACTATTATTTTTTTCCAGTCGTACGAGGAAGATATACTGCCATAACAATAGTTCCCATGTAGGTTGAATAACAATATGGAATAATCATTGTGTACGTAGCTCTCTCTCGCAATTTCTACACCCAGCAAACGAAATCGATTTGTGGCTATAATCTAATTACATTCCGAATAAAGGCGATTTTTAATCAAAAAGAGCACCCACCTGTCCTACGATACCATAGCTACTGTACAGTGTATAATGACTTTATGAAATGTATACTACAAGGTAAGAAACTATCGTTAAAGATATTAAATTAGTCATTCAATTCATTGATTTCATTTATCCCCTAATTTATAATCAGTTAAATTTCAAATCTTGGTAAATGTAAGTTGATCTTATAACGTTACACTTGCGATACTTGATACTAGCCAATCAGATGATGCTGTTCAAAGCAGCCTATGCGTATGTTATCTAGCATAAAGGCGAAGTAGCAACCCTCCTATTGGTAGTCTTTCTTTGCTAAATGAACGGAAATTAGCTATATCCTCTTTTGCTAATATTCATTTCTATTTAAACTTTAATGATTTAAAAATCATAATTTTATAGACAAATAATTAAAATACTGGTACATTTTCTTTTTATGCGCAGAGGCTAATATTTCAGACAAATATAGCAATAAACAGCAATATCTTTAGCTTGATATTAAAAGATTTTATAATAGTAGGTTAGAAAAACTTATGATTTGATAACTCTAAGTTTGTTACAGCTTGCCGATATCATCCCTTAAAAGACCTTAGATTATCCATTTTACTATTAATATACTTCAAGAAAAGCTGACTATTAAATTCGTACTTATACTATCAGTATATTAATATTTCTGTGCTTGAATAAAACTACCAGTCTAAGCTGCAAAATTATCGATGTACTGTTCAGAATCGGCACAAACGTTTCTCTGGTAGTTATTTTATCTCGTTGAAATCCTATTTAAGATTACAATAAAATAAGGCAGAACAGCAACATTCTACTGAATTACAACCCCAAATTAAAGAATCCATGCACAATCAAATCGGCATTGAGCCAATCATTTGAAGTAATCTCTATTGTATATACATTAGAGTTATTGATTGCTGCCTATAAAATAAAAATTTAATCATAGGGCGTCGAAATGAATAGCAAAGCCTTTTCTCGATTTCACTTTTTACCAGCGATATAAATTGCGTTTGAACATATTGATGAAATATTGACACTGGTTATAAATTAATCATAAAAAATGATGAAGGTAACGACTACCATCATGACCTTTGAATAACATAAAATGATCGCATTGGTTATACGAACAATGAAAATTCAAAAACTAACTACATATAGCTAAAATACATAACTATATAAGGTACTATTACAATAATAATTAAGGATTAATACCATCTGTAAGCTTCATTGAAAGCTATACCCAACATGTACCATATTGATGGTCAAAACCTTGCGAAGAAATCATAATAAAACTACGCGTAAACCGTGGCTTGAGAAAGATGAGATTAGTACTGATACTTCGTGGTAGGTATTCGAATTCGTACAGTGCAAACTATTCTTTTAGCAGATATCATCCTGCAATTACAGACATAAGCATAAAAAGTACTACTACTTGTTAATCTGTATTAACTGCTTGCTTATTAATAATGGAGAATAATTTCAGCAGTTAACTGAAAATGAAAATGCGAATTTAGAATTTTATAGCAATAAATAAATACGCATAGTGCAGGATTGATTATTATAAATCATCATGATAAGTTTTGCTTAATTCTTTTTATCTCTATAGTCTTCATTCTTCAACTTGTCTCGATATTAAGCTATCTAGTTTTAGCAAGCTGGTTCCTTTCATAGAAGCTGACGTCATTGTCAAAGAACCTAAAGCTGTCTCATCGGTAAATAGAAGAATTTATGAAAATATTGCACACGTTTAAGAGCATTAAATGACTCTTACTGCAAGATAACAATGAATGGTAGATAACAGCTCCAGACATAACTTAAGCACCTAAAGATACTACGACAAATTTCTTACAGAAAACGTTAACTCACCAAATAGAAAAAGTGTTTTATATCCTTATTTTTCGGCTGAGAATTTTATAATAAATAATGGCGCTTGTACAGCATTAAATAGTCTACAGCTAATAAAATACCATACTAGGCAGATGTGCTACCATTCGCCATTCTAAACTCTGTCGAAGCGCGCTAATATATCAATCATTGCCAGACTTTCAAATTGATCACATAATCATCATAATTTGTCAATAAAATAATACGACATTTTGCCACATTTAGTGCCTATTTTATTCTTTATTACAATTGAGTAATCACCCCTAAAAAGATTATAAATATTAACTACATTGAAGATTTGATATCCTAATTACACTACAAAATATGGGCGAATGTAAAAACACTCCCATTTCAACTTGGAGTAGATATCAACCCTAGATCATATAAAAATATCTTCAGCTATAATGCAGTAAAATATTACAGCAGAAAGTAAACAAACTTAATAGACAGTAATCTAAACTACTGCAGTGTATAGGTCCATTCAATTATATCACATGCATGTTGTATATTGGTTAATAAGTCCTGTAAATACTGTAGTAACAATTAATGCAGTACAGCACTGCTAGTACAATAACATCTACCTTCCACAATATTAGTAAATTTTATAAAAATATTGAATCTTTGTGGTGTTTTATTACGAAATTATGACTCATGAAGATAGAAAAATTTCATGCATAAATTTTTCGAGTTATATCGAACTATTTGAAAGGTTTATTAACCCATTTGATGCTTTATAAGTTATTGGGTCAATTTGTTTAAAATTCAAAGTACAGTAGCACTATATAGAATTTTACATCAGATTTGTCAACCGATGAAAAGGCTAATTAGGAAATATCGGAAGCAATAAGTCACTTATTGTCCTTCCTAAAGAATTGGAACATTCTGTCACGATATCCAAGCTATTATTAGAAGATCTAAGTTATCTTATTTAGATAAAATAAGAACTCAGCATAATTGTTATTGTATAAATTCTTTAGAAAAAGAATCGTGTAATCTTATAAAGAACAGGTTCAGCAACTAATACTAATTAGCACTATACGAGTATGTTAGGGAACTGTCCATAAATAAGACTGCTACCGTAGATTAATACAAAATCTCTTATGTTATAACACACCTAATGCACGTTAGGTGTTTAGTTAAGTCGCGCATAAATGTCCCTAAGTAAAAGAACAACTGTAGCTACTGTATTCCTGATTCCTTCCAATAACGCCAGTATAATCATGTTCATATAAAAAAAAAAAATGATTATTTACGGAAAGTAATAACACTAAATGAAACAATTATGGTAAATCTATATTTACTATCCATTATACGGTACTAGCAAATACCCGCTTGCGTTACCGCCAGCGTAGTAGTGCAGTAGTGATAAAAATACATGAGATTACTCGTATTATTTGCTTTTGATACTATCGACAAAATGATATAGCACAGAATTCACCTTGAGTCAAAATAATACGGTACAATACAGTACTGTGTGTACTATACTGTACAGTACTTTACAGTATATGGAACAGCAGCTCAGCCCATGGTCAAGCCACTGTGTAGTGTACTAGACTAGTCAGTAAGCTAGTCTACTGCGCAGTACTTGTACAGTACAATGTACTGTATCACCTCAAGATAGTAAAATAAGTATTGTAATAGCAATTATAATTAGTAATTATATTTGCCACAATTCGTATGAGGATAGCTTTACGCTCAGATTAATTTACGCGTATGAGATGGTTAGCTTATAAATTTCTGGAAAAAAAATTCTACCGTAGATATTTACAAGCATGTAGCGAAAACAGATCAATGCAATTTACTATTTAGGCTAAAGTGAGACCGTGAGAGATACGTACGAGATAGCTGTAGGATATGCACATAAGGATAAAGTTGTAGATAGAAATATTTGAAGTACACACATAATACCTACTTCGGATTTACAAAATGGTCATTTTCATGCATCTTTTAATGACTATTTCCAGTACTATAAAATTTAGTTATCAATCTGTATTTACCATGATGAGGGCTGTAGGGTTTTTATTAGGGAAGAGATAAACATGCATGACTCAGTTGATCCCACGAATTTTATGACAAGTGCAGACAAATGGAACGACATTGGATAACCATCACATGAAAATATAAAATAGAATTTTGTAGCACTAGTTAGTTTAATAAACAAGTGAAATTAATGTGGAAAATGGAAAGGTGACTTACTATTTTACTAATCTAAATCAAGAGTATGAGATTCTACAAGCTATTACTGCTATCATAAGTCAATTCGTAATAACAGTCAGTGACTTATGATAGCAGTAACAGTAATAATACTAAGCAAGAACATATTAAAGAAGAAGAATACTGTACATGTACAGTACATATATAAACTAGGTAAACACGATGTACTCAGTGTACAGCACACTGTACAGTACACTGTGCTCGTACTAAAAGACATAGTGTAGTAGTGTACGGGTCGGGTCAAATGTGTTAAAGATTGTTGACCAATACATATTCTGTACGTACATTACTGTAATGTATAATGTATATATATATATATATATATATATATATATATAGTAAGTACAGTATATACTGGTAAGTCAGGGGAAGGATTTTCTGCATAAACTTTCTTGATGACGTTCTATTACTGTATAGTTATTACTATCTTCTAGTTGTGCGTACCTGCACCATGTCGTGAAAGAATAGGTGTTATTATACTGTACCATCGCCAAAATCTCATCATCATAACAACGGACATTCTTTCTATCGCGACCATTGACATCATCAAGAGGCTTGGATACACACACGTATGGTTCAGCAGTTACTAAGGGCAGAGAATAAATAATTAGAATCATCAATCATTACGGGCACCCGTACATAACTATACACATTAAAACTTTGTATTGTATCTGATACTAGGGAGGGGGAAATAATAAAGCTGCTATTATTATGCATACTTATTAGCATTCTCTTGATGAACGACAAAGGGTTATGTAAGATTTATCTGAAAAAATTATTACAATTTGAGGGTAATTATAGTGACGATTTGTAGGTTAACTAAAACTAGGGAAAAAAAAGGAAAAAATTGGACTTATTTATCAAGGTAGAAATTGATTGTATCTATTTTTGCTACGTTTTCAATTTCAATTATAAGGCAAATCAGTAATAAATATTATTTTTTACGCTTACAGTATGTGTCAGTTTGTTAATCAATTCTAAGTACCTATTAACTTGGATAGTAATACCGCAACACCGATTTCCTTCCTTACTTCATAAGAACTAGGCATTAACGATGGTTGACTTATATTTATATTCGTAGTCATCATTTTATCAAGACCAAATAAAACGGTTTGAGATCGTTGAATCAAATTCGCTCATCAAGGATTCTTGGATAAAGTGATTATCGTTTAATCTAGTTTTATACTGTACTGTACTATCATTAGATCCAATATTCGACATTTCAATTGCTAATTATGGGTAAGAAAAACAGCAAGTTAAAGGCAGAATTGGTCGATGAATTAACGCAACATACCCACTGTAAGTTTAAATTTATATTGTCAAAGAGTAGGAAGATGATTCAGTTGAAGCTGAAAATTAATATTTGTAAATTCAATAAGGATTACAAACCATAAATATGAAATAGTTAAATTAATGTACTCAATATATTTTGCAGTTTATACGTAGTCAGTTTTGAAAATCTAATTTATTTACTAAGTAAAAATTCGATTATGTAATAATTTATTAGTGATAGAATTTCTTAGTTCTCTAAAACCAGCACCTTTTGTCATTCCTTCATCCGCTATCGACACATATAAAAACACTGGATATTATTCTATTACCCTTTCTTTTTATTTAATCATTAATTAAGCTGAAAATTTACCACATGTTTTTTTTCCGTCGTGGGTCTAAATGGCCAACCTTGTAAATGGGATTAATCCAACAAAAACTTTCTATCAGTTACTGAAAAAGAATTGCAGCAATGGTAAGTAAGCATTGTGTATTATCTGCATATGTATTCCAACTACTTTCGAACACACAGTACAGTACAGTAAAAAGTTCAGCACTTGACTTAAAAAATTTAACTTGCATCGATTAATTGACAGTGTCGAGAAATAGTCTTAATATTGAGTCTGAAGATTAATTGTTAGTTTTACAATTATTGACTTAAATTGATACTAATCGTAAATAAAAAGCAGAGTTTTACGTAAAAAATCAAGGTAACGGCTATTAAATTGCTTAATTATTATTGATTTATATCACTAATTTAAGTTGCAATTTGTTATACATTGTATGTTTACACCATGTTTGAAGGTATCTAGTGGATAAAAATCGAATAGATTTAAGAAAATTATCTACTTTTCTTGAAAGACGCCAACATTAATCAATATATTCATTGACCATAACAATTAGGTACAAGGGATTTCTAAAAGACTGCCCAAGTGGATTACTTGATCTAGATGTAAGATATATGAATTCGTACGATTATGTGGATAGTACTTTTTATATTCTTCGTAAGCAATATCTAGGATAAAACATGTAGGCCAAGGCATAAAACTTTATTTACTGCATAATATATCTTGGCCAACAATTGTTTGGCCTTTGTTTCTGTAGCTGTTTGCGCTGGAAAAGTAATAATTTTGTCCCATAGCAGAAATAAGAGAAAAGAGAAAGAATGTCTCATTTCTTTTAATTCAAGAGCATTCAGAAGGAAAAAATTGCTTCTTTCCTTAACGATTTGATTGATTTCGTTTTAATGATGCCGTCCGATAGCTCGTATACACCCTTAAAGTTAAACTTCTCAGTACTACTGCAACGTGGTTTCATTAAACTACTGTATCTGAATTTAGCATTCAATTATACGCTAATACTGCTTTAAATAGGTGAGATTCTGCAAAATGCTGTAGTAATTTTATCAAACGGACAGATTATCTTGATTAGTACCGTTTATCCTTTTAAGTTGACGAATTTCGTGGCGATCTGTTCCTGTTTAAGAAAAGTACGAGTAATAATTTTTTCCAGACTGCTATCGATATCTATAATAGTAGTATATAACACTATGCGATGTAAAATTTGAAAGTCCTGTTCGTATCGCTTCGCTAGGTTGTGAATATTAAGGCAAGAATAGCTGCAGTATTACTCTAGCGTCGCTTTTACCCCATACTTTTGATGTTATATGTTCCCTAAATCATCATTAAAAGATTACAGCTAGTAATATCAAATCGAATCATATACTATTTATTACAGGATAAAGTGTGTAATTATAATTTAATGCTGTTGAGCTATATTGCTCATCGAGTACTTCTCCGAAAGCAATAGTATGCTGGGAATAGTGGGTTATGTGTCAAATACTTACCAATCGTACGACTTTGAAGAGTGTGCAAAGTAACTGTATATATATATAATAATTACGCAAGATACTGCTAAGATATGACCAAGGTGAAGGTTTTTGCAACATGTTTCATGAAAATATATAATTCTGGTATCATTTAAATTTTACCATTCCTACTGACTGGATTAATGTTTAGTTTTCAAAGTTGCCATAATTACATATTTTCTGTAATCTAATTAGTAAAATAGAATAAAAACTGAAGCTTGAGCACATTTTTGTCTTGAAACAGGAATTTTGCAAGATATACAAACAATTTTTTCCTTTTGGTGATCCGGTAAAGTTTGCCAGCTTCGTATTTAACGTATTTGATGAAAATAAGGTTCGTTATTGTCATACTAACAGAATCCAAGTACGTTTTCAGCACAAATTGAGGCAGTTTGATGTCACTGGTGGCTATCCATATTGTCGTATAGCATCCTACTGAGTGCACAGCGTCCCATTTTCGTAATTTTCTATTTGCAATCTATACCATTGAAATAACTAGTCCTTCGTTGAGTAACGATTATTGCTACGCTTTTGTACTTACAGGTACCGCTACAGCAATAGTTATTATTGAGAACGAGTAGATGTACAGTATATGTAATCATAAAGATTAATAGCGTAGTTGAAAAATCGTTATCATATTAGTAATTAAGCTGTCTTCCTGAGATAATTGGCATTAAAATGTATAGTGTCAATACTATCAGAGAGAAAGAAAATTCGATAATTGACCATTTTTAAGGGAAATGTAGATTTCAGGAAGCATCTACAATAATTCGGATTAAATTTGCCAATATTTTTTTAGTTGTTTTGTGTAGACTTGTGGTATACAGGAAAAAGTGACAATCGCCACGGTTATTCTTATATTACATTTGCGGAAGAAATATATAAAATCGAGTTCCATAAAACAATAAAGTAAACTTATACTTTCCATATTATAATAGATTATAATAGACATTGGCCAGAAAATTTTAGCATAGGATTCTTCATAATAAATATCAATTCAGTGTCACTATATCAGTACCTAAGTGATCATTTTATTCTATTGACTACTAAGAATTCGAAATTATTAATATCGAACAGAATATATGACGTAGTGTAATGCTAAAGCAGTCAAATTAATTTTTATTCCTAATTCAGTGTAAGATTAATAACATTTTAGCAGTACTTTACCATCTAGACTATGTAAGATCTCGAATATGTAAAGTACAATCCATGCGACAATAAAAATACCCTACTATAGTGTCTCTCATAATACCATTGCTCTATATTTCGAATCCTGTATTTAATTAAGGAATACAGTATTATGAAGTTACTCCTGTTTCCTTACCATAGAGTTTTGACTAATTATTCATTAAACGTTATTTATAGGACGGAACTATTGAATTTCGGGAATTCATATGTGCCCTATCAGTAACCTCTCGTGGCAGTTTAGATGAGAAACTTAAATGTTAGTAAGTTTAGTGCAGAAATACAAATATAACAGTTAATTTAAATTGATAGATACGCACTAAAATAATATATATAGCCTATAGTACTGTTATAATATGAATTTCATGTTAAAAGACTTACGCTATAAATTACTAAATATTCTGTTAATAGGGGCTTTTCGATTATATGATCTTGACAATGATGGATATATTACACGGTCAGAAATGTTAGATATTGTTGATGCAATTTATAAAATGGTGGTAAGTTCACTGATAATCTTAATGTACAAGCTATGTTTAAGTGTATCTCGTGCTTGCTAGCAACTGTATCAGATTTTCAAAATATAACGCGATAAAGTTCACGGCTTCTTATTTAGGGAAATATGGTAAAGCTACCAGAAGAAGAAAATACAGCTGAGAAAAGGGTTGAAAAAATATTTAGACAAATGGACAAGGTAAATTTCATTTCATCACTTTAATTACTAGCATTAAAATGATGCGATCTGATCTTATCTTAATATGACTGATTAAATAAATAATATGCAGAACGACGACGGACGATTGTCCATGGCAGAGTTTCAAGATGGATCAAAATCCGATCCATCTATTGTTCAAGCACTTTCTCTGTATGATGGCTTAGTGTAAAGATTAATTGTTTTTGTAGCATGCAATTATTGCAATTTTAAATAATCTACTGTAATGCATAGCTGGTTAGACTGATACCGTAATAATAGGCCAACATTAATATCTATTTCGTAGAATCTGCATGCCAAATAAATCAGTCATAACATCAATACTAGTAATAACAGTGGTATTAGACACATTCATATTCGAAGATAACTGACGCAGTGATAATTGCTATAACATAATTGGAAACTATTATATTTCTAAATTTCGGATTATCGCCTGTAACTATTTGTTCTTATACTTAATCTTGTAGCATATTTTCGATTTCAGCATATACTACGTTAAACAGGAGTGGTACTTAAATGCCAGCTATTTCTTAAACTATAAGAATTGTTTGAAATACTTTACTCATAACGACATGTTCGATTCATCCTAATCTTTATATTTTTTTAATTTTCTGTGATGCAATATTAAACTTCAGATATCTTATAATTATCAAATGATACGTCTGCTGTTGCCGAACTGTACGCGAGTACTATGATAGTAGTAATAAGTACTAGTGAAACCCGTGAAAATTCTACGGAATATAGTGGATTTTAAGTTAATGGAGTATATATGATGTGATTGTCACTGGTAATCTGATATCTTATTTCATACACAGTACACAGTTCGCTGTAGTAAGAAATTTAGCAAATTTTTAGCAAGCGGAAATGTCCTTGAAATCTTAACATATTCGTGCACGTCCTGCAGTAAATAAAATAGAAATTGTTTAAAATATAGATTTACATACGGTATTTTTATTGATTTGAATCTCTATCAATTCATCCATAATTATCTTCCCATACAGAGATCAATTACCAGAAATAATACAACCAACTAAGTTAAAATAGACTAATCTCAGTTACATTCTTTCTTAAGGGTATTATAGATCATAAAATTAAGAAGTTAGATACAATGATACTATACTCTAACGGGAATTCAGATTGCTACCCATCTCTTATTAATTTATCATAAAATGTTGTACTTTTCATGTGTATAAATTTACATTCGGTAACATTCGCACAGGATCAGCTGTAGACCGATAGATGAGAAAAAAATTATAATTTCAGGCGCAGATTGATTCTTTAATTGACGTGTTTTAACTGCAATTCGAGTACATCTTTATAATAATAGAGAATCTGACTTGACCACATCACCGAGTTTACGTAAAGCAACATCATTACCGTTGCCATTTATTCTGGATCGATGAGAATAAAGCCCAAAATCTTTAGGCTAAATAACCACACTTACGCTGCACTAACATCAACAATGCACTGCTGACTGTAACTATTTATACGCGTAAAAGTATTACAGCAATAAGCCGCTGCTGTAATAGATACAACTTCTTAACGTCTGCAAATCGATAGACCTTTTCAAAATGTTAAAACAAATGAGCAATGATATATTTTCCACTACTAAGATCACCTTTAAAAAATCAAACTCAGTTATCAAACTAACAATTAAGCATCTACTAAAGAGCAATGTAAAATTATTGCTGAGATTTGTAACAAAACCTTTAATGAAATTTTTATTTTTTAAAGCTTTGCTGTAAAGCTAGCAAAGTCAAAACCTAATAATATAACCTGTATGCTATAATTTTTAAGCATAGAAACTAGCTAAAGCGAGATATCATTAAGAAATTATTAGCTTCAATAGAATATTATGCAATTAACCAAAGGATAAAATTCACACGGTTACAAATACTGAAAACTTTTACCATAAAAGAATGAAAACGTATCCTGTCATAAAACAGCGCACTGCCTAAAATAAAACAGCTATAGGATCACAGTTTTATCATGAAATGATATGCTAGATTGTGAAATGAGCTATGAACTGGCAGAATTTGTAAATCTGTCTAATATTGGGTACATTCAAAATAAATATTTTCACTGACAATTCTGTGTAGGTGTTGAAGACGAAATGCTAAAGATATCTATAATATTACTTATAGGAGAAAGGATGCGGATTAATCCATCTATACGGCATAATTAGGAATATTTTCAATAAAGATATTGGTATGATGAAGTACAAAAATGCTGAAAATGAAGCGATTTAATTTTATGTAACC